ACAGTCAAAACGTGTCTGCCCCTCTCTCCCCTCCCCACTTATCAGTAGTCATTATCGCTTGCTTTTTTGGGGGGGAGTATTTCGCGTGGAAATTAGAGAACGATGAGGAAATTAGAATGGATCAAGTTCTGTCGGTCAGGACAGCGACTACGCTATATGAGTTCTGTAACCGGTTTTACCCATAGATAGGGTTCAAAATTACCTCAAATAATCTAAAAGTCTTGTTTAAATGTTGGCAAGTTACTCACATCAGGATGTTATTTATGGGGATTCTCTGTTCACGGTTTTCCATTGCTTCTGTTTTTTCTGATCACGTTTTGTAAGGTCATGTTTTGCAAGCAGAACTGGAACAGTTGGGCCCACTGCAATTGGCTATATATGCTGTTGCGATGTCCCTGCCATTTTTTATTTTGATTGTTGTTGCATGGCGAAGTTAATAAATAAATAAATAAATAAATAAATAATCTCTTATTCACCGGATTACAGATGCTCGCTTTAAAAGCCAGTTTGCCCGGCACAGTTCGTGTCTTTTCCCCAAATCGAACCGAAGGAATCTACAGAGCCACAGTATGGAGAAAAATCAAATGAAAAGGAATAGCATAAAAATCTTTCTGTCAAAGCAGTTTTTTGCCTTTAAAAGAAACAGAGAGACAGAAAGTGGAGTCAGTAAGGTCGCAGATTCGCATTCAGATGAAGAAGGAAGTTCAGTCACCCACCAGCATTTAATTTTAGAGCAACGAGACGGATGGATGGGGATTTGTTCTGTGATGGAGGAAGAAGACAGACGCTATGGGATGGCCCTTGCAGAGTTTAGAAGTGAACTGATTCTGTGTCTCGCTCTAGAAAAATTCGGATTGTTGTAAATGGACTCAATTTGGAAGATCTCGGTCAAATGTACTTTGATCAAATTCAACGCTTAGAGTGGGATCTACAGTAGGGCGTTTCTGACTTTAATTGTTGAGGCGAGCTCTTATGGAAACGGACTCGACTTAAAGACCTCAATTTTCCTTTTTCTCAAATGCATAGGCTCATAAGCCGTTTGTATGCCAGCACAAAATTTGTAATATAATATAATTATTAGCTTAACTAATGACTTACTGCTTACCCAAACCAGGAACCGTTATAAAGAGTTGTACAAGTGTTAACCCGTTCATTTTTTACATGCCTTATCTTTTTCTTCATTAATTGAGTTTATGTATTAATAAAGTTGTATTTGATGTCGAATATATACTGAGACTTGCTGCTTACAACTGGATAAGAATATGACCAAGGAGAAATACCCAAACTGAGTAATCCCTAACCCAGTATCGCTTAACCTTCACCGCTCGTCTTTGAATTCATGTCCTGGTCATGATTATACCCTTCACTTCCCAAGATCTTTTAATTATTAATTCTCCTTGCTTAGCATTGCTTCAGATTCCCTCATGATTTGTCAAGATAATTTAATGCTATATCAAAGAAAACCGACGTTCGATAACTACAATGCTTGACGGTTCCCATCATGTACTGTATGCAGCTTTTTGGACGCATATCATACTGAGATTGTGAAGTTGCATTTTAACTACCAAAGATAAATCATCAGAGTTAAATTAGCAAACAGACGAAGAACCAGCGAGCTTAAAAAAACTCTGACATTTTCTACAGTTCAACGTTATTTTTCACATCAAATTTTAATCGATTGTCTGTTTTGAAGTTTGCTTTATTTCCTTGACGACAAACGTTCTATTATTACCACAAACAAGAGGTCACCTTGTAGAGCCTTCCCACCCTCATTTTTCATTGAGCCGTGTTGGAAACTATACGACACTTTAATTAGGCCTAATCATTTACGTTGACCAATGCCTGATTACATTTTAAACACAGCACGTTTTGGAACGAGTCCGCAGAACTCATAGGGCATGGACTTTTAATAGTGAGTAGGAGTTCATCGTAAAATCAAGTGAATAAGCCGTGATGAGGAAATGTGGTAGGGAGTTTTCACGTTTTCGACAGCCGCACTGACTCCAACATAAGACACTGCCGACCGCAATTTCGTATTCACATCACGATCTCGAAAACACAGGAAGACTGTGCGTCTTATTTATGTTAATTTTGTTTTTCATCCTATTTTTTAAAATTATCATCATATATGTACTCCCAACTACTTTCATATTTATCATACATAGAATGTATCGGTCATGGCATGGTATAATGTTATCGATCTCTTGCCCATTTCCTATTCACCTATCAGTTCTTCAAATGTGCTCCTATTGTTTACATATGTAATAAAGGAACTAAAGTAAAAAGCAGAAATTGCTGTTTGGTGACCACGTGTAACCTCTTTTTTAAGAGTTTTCTCGCTCAGGAGGGAGTTTGCCGACCGTGGAAAATCCATTTAACGAGCTTAGCAATTTAGGTTCAAACGCGTTTTTAGGGCTAGCATTACGAGGAAAAGAACCCTGTCCTGACCTGTTGTGAAAGCTCATCATATCAAATACTTGTTTAATCACTTTATTTTAAAAATATTTGTTTACTCATTGATAATTTTTTTTTTTACACCACTTTTTACTATGAGAAGGTTGGGATAGAGATGTGTTCCTATCGTTTGGGATATCAATTAGGAAACTTTAGCGAAGTGAAAAAGAAAAAAACCCCTCAGTGTTGATTGCATTCTTCTGCTTCAGGTTAGAAATTTGCTCTACACATCCTATGATCTAATAGTGAAATAAAAAACGAGTCATTCATCTTGTCTCAAGCGTGAGAAAAATTTAGGAACAAATTGAACCCACTTTTGCGCACTCGGCACCCCCATCCTCTGCCATTGGGACAGAGACGAGTGAAACTTTTATTCATGCCGGTGCTCAAAATTCGCCATCGATCTCATTTTCTTTTTAGTCGAGTTTCAAGTCGAAAATTTAGAAATTTCTAATGTCATTAACTGGGGAATTCTCTTTACGGATATTTACCTCCTCAAAAACAAAAAGAAAAATAAACATACGGTTATCTAATGATGTAATGCTCCTTCGCTATGTTAACACACATTTCAACAATTAGCATAACATGGATTTCCTCAAACGAGACTAACACTGTTCAAACAACCACCTTAAATTTCTATTGATCCTCTCCTTCCTCTCCCCAGGCCCCCCACTACTTATCACTCACATTTACTTTCTTTTCAGGAAAATTTAATTTACTCCATTTTCACTGCATTAATTTTTGCAGTGGGGAAGGACTAGAAAGGAACATAGGAAGCATTCGTGCTAGTCCACCCTCCCACCCATCCCACCCCAGGGGAGGACATCCATCACACAGTAATCTCGTGTGTGGGAAATTAACGTCTCCTACCCCTAACCCTGCAGGAGACGGGATCTCCATTTATTCGTCCCTATCCGAGAATACTAGAATATCTAAGCATTTCTTGATGTTATAGAAAGGTAGCAAATTCTTCTCAATTAGCAACCAATGAGAATAAAGTACAGAAGGAAGTTAAATTAATGGAATTGGTCATGAAGATAGCATGGACGCCGACGCTGCCGTTGAGTTGAGAAGGAAATCAAGTTTGTTGGGTAATGAATGGTTGGAGGTTAGAATTGGGTCTACAGCCTGATGTAAACGTTTTACATTATTTCCTGAGAATCATAGTAACCCATACCGTAATATGAGAATTCAACGTGCACGTTTTCTCGTTCCTCGTGTTTTTCTAAACACGTTTTGCAAGGTCATGTTATGGATACAGAACCGGAACAGTCACGAGGCAATTTCTTACTTTTCACTACTGAAGCCATGAAGTTATTGCGCAATACTTCGCCCTTTAGCAGGTTAAAAGTGTTTGAGGTTCGCTGAGCAAATCAGTTCTTTTCGCCGAACCGAAGAGAACTCGAGGAACCATTGAGAAATACATCATGGAGAAAGGTCTGATGGCAAGAACTAACGTTCTGATTTTTTTGGTTTAAGGCTTTATGTAGATCAAAAAGCAAAGAGAGGCGGAAGGCGAAGTCAGTAACGTTACAGAATTGCGTTCAGCTGAAGAAGGCAACAACATCATGATCAACCCACCATCCAGTACAACTCCAACCAGAAGGATGGTAATTTGTTCTGTGTTTGAAGAGGAAGATGGACGTTGTGAAGTGGCTCTTGCGGAGTGTAGAAGAGATCTTATTGTGTGGCACACTTTGAGAGATGTTGGGCTGATGTAATACGACCATTAATTTGACGTTAAATTCCGATTGTTGCTATCTTTAACCGAACGTGGGTAGCTGTTCAGTGATAAATTGCCGCCTTAAAACGGGTCATCTTGTGTTAAGAGAGAGTTAAATATGCAGTGTACAATTTCTTCTCCCAATTTAGTATTTTTTTTTTTTCAATTCTTCGCTGAGGCATTTACTGTCAATTAAAGCATGGCGAGTTAGTTCCAATGCATTCAGTTTATGCCTCCTAGGTTACAGCAGTAGATGCTACCCTGACAAACCTCGCTCATTCTAAGGGAGAGCGGGAAATGTTCAGGCATCTTAAGCCTCTAAAAACGCTGTATCGTTTTCATCACTATTTTCTTAAACTCTCTGTTTGCCCATATCCGTTTCTTGCCTGAAACATTTTCAGCCCACAACATCTGCGCTATTGTTGAACTCTCAACTAGCCTCTCAGAGTTCTGAATCTAATTATCAGTTAACAGAGGCACCTCTTCTCCGTGCCCGTTTTTATCCGTTATCCTAATTACATTTGCGATTCAAATACCTTTCGTCACAGCATAATTAGTTCGTTAAATTATTCGGATCACGTTCGTTTCGTAGCTGAACACAACATCGCGTTCAGGCTTTTCTCGTCCCAGCGAGGACGAGAGGAAAAGTCCTGGGAACAAGTCCAAAAAGGAAAGAAGCAATATTCGTTAATTCCAGCCGCTATGGAGACGTCTATGTGATAGAACTAGGTCTGCATGAATCAGGAGTTATGTCATCAATTTCTGTATCAGATGAAGACTAGGCATAACAGTAAGACAGAAAAATAATTTATTTACCGAACTCTTCATTTCATTACTCTAACTAAAGTCGAGATCCGAAAAAAAAAAAAAAAAGAAAGTAAAGAAAAAAGAAAGAAAAAAGTATCAAGTACTTTTTACAATTAAGGAGTCTTCTTCACTTTGACATCGTTTGGTCGCATAACATAATCGGCATTAGAGACAATTTCAGAACACTTACTGGCAATAAGAGAAAGCTTGCGAAGCAATTGCAAACATTTAATAGTCCTAATATGCTTTAAAACAAGACTAAAAACGACAGCTTTTACCTCGCCTCTCATGAATCACCTAATAAAAACATCTAAAAATAATATAGCGTCTCAATAATATGCACTCGTAGATCCCTAATTTGAGAAATTGCACATTTACTTAAAGGACCATTCAAAACCGAGGGCTTTTCTTTTTAATTTCATAATTTAGAACTTGTCGCGTGTGTCACGACGTTAAAAGCATTTTAATCCAGGACAAAAGGTTTACCATGGAAATGGTTTGGTAAATGCGAATACCAAGAAAGCTAGATTACAAATTGGAGAGTTAATAAATTAGTCTTTTTCCTTCTTCCTTCACAAAAGAATACAAATGCCAGACTTTTTCTCCTTCTTTCCTGCCTCGGCTTTGTTGGCTCCATTTTCTTTCTTGTGCTTCTTATCTTTAGCATTTTTCTCATCTATATCCTTTTCATCCTTGCCTTCTTCTTCGTCTTCTTCATTTTCATTTTCTTCATCCTGGTCTTCATCTTCACCTTCGTCATCTTTATCTTTACCCTAAAAGTATGGACAATGATAGGGTTATCAGTGCTCGTGCCGTTGAAAACAAAAATAAGCAACAGCTAGTTTCATCTTAAAAATTGATGGATTAAACATTTTTTGACCACCAAACTAATTGTCTCTGATCCATTACGACCTACCCCTTCCTAAAGGACCTACGTGAATGTTTCTATATCCTAAAAAGTTCAATTCTTCAGGTTCATCATCTGCTGCATTTCATTTGATCGCCGCCATTTTTATCGCAACTTTATCGTTCTCAGTTCATTATTGCCTCAAGATTTGTCCCTCTCAGATTGACGGTAGCTTTTCGTTTGGTTGTTGTTGTTGTTATTGTTGTTGTTTATCTCACTAAGATTTTATGACGGCTTTTGAATGGATAGTTTTCCCGTTGACAAAACTGACTCGAACTTCGTGAAATAGCCACCTCATACGCTTAATGAAAAAACTAAAAGCAATTAGAAGTCAAAACCCAATTGGGCTCGAAAATTCTGTGATAGATAAGTTTGCAATTTGCTCAAAAGACAATCGTGTTTAAACGCTATTATCCTCTCAAACTTCACTCTACATAGGAAGATGTTGAGTAGCTTAGCATCTGACTGTTCTTCGTCTTTGTCGCGTGAAATGACGCAATCCATACAACTTTACGCCACTCTTGATTCAGACTTCTTGTTGTTCCCAAGGTAACTAAATACTATCATCAGAAAGCCACTCAATTCATCCCTTCTACCGGACTAGATTAGACATAGCAAATACTACTCTTGAGAAAAAAAAGCCAAAGAAAGGCGAAACCAGCGGCCTTACCTTTGCTTTTTTCTCCTTTTTTTTCTTGTCTTTCTTATCTTCGGGTTTCTTTTTATCAGCGTCATCTTCACCTCCTTTCTTTCCTTCTTTACCTTTTTTTTTCTTCTTGTCATCCGTTTTTTCCTTTACTGTTTTATCTGGTAAACGCAAAACAAAACAGCGAGTTTTGTGGTCTATTGGACTGAGGTTGGAAAAAAACTTCAAAAAATACCTCATTTTTCAAAGGAGAGCCGACTTGAAAGGGTGAGACAATATCTAAGTCTACGAATATTCTTCAGCATATATTTAATAAGGCGCACAAGACAGCAATAGCGCCAAGACTGAAAAGATACGAAGAACATATAGACAAGATAACTTTCCCATAATCCCCTTCACCTGGCTGTTTTCAAGTGGGAGACGATAGTTTTTAAACATTCCTTGCTCTAAACATGTACATCACGAAGACTTGCGCTTTATTTTTCAAAATTTGTCATTAGCAATCTTCTCTATCTCCACCCTCGTTTCGTTTTGGATTTTTCTTTCTGTTTTGGTGTTTTCTATGTCGACGAATATTTTGTGGTTTCCCTCATGTAAAAGGAAACTTCAAACATAGCAAAAACTGACGTTTTTTAAAATCGTGACGAAGTTCCAGTAAGAGTATTATAGCACACCATGACCAAGACAATATTCTTACCTTTCTTAGTAACTTTATCTTCATCCTGCTCCGTTTCTTCCTCACCTCCTCCTTCCTCATCATCCTCATCTTCTTCTTCATCATCCTCATCTTCTTCTTCATCATCCTCATCTTCTTCTTCATCATCCTCTTCTTCCCTTTCCTCGTCAGTCTCTGTTTTTTTCTTATAATCGGCCTTCTTCTTTTTCTCTTTAGAGTCTACTTTCTGGTCAGACTCTTTCTCGTGTTTCTTATTTTTACTCGGTCCCTCTTGCTCGTCGTCCTTCTCATCATCATCGTCATCTTCATCGTCATCCTCTTCTTCATCGCTTTCGTCTTCTTCTTCGTCTTCTTCTTCCTCCTCCTCTTCTTCTTCTTCATCGTCTTCCTTCTTCTTTTCAACTATTCCAACTTCAACTTTCTTTCCAACAACTTTAAGTTGTTCACTCTTATCGGGCTTTTTAGCCTCATCTGTCCTCTCCTCGCCTTCTTCGTCACTCTCTTCGTCTTCTTCATCTGATTCCTCGTCTTCATCATCTTCCTTGGAAGAAGGTACTTTCTCTTTTTTGTCATCGTTAGCAGCCGTTTCTACTTGCGTCTTTGTTTCTGTCGCTTTCTTTCTGTCGGAGGAGTCTTCCTCCTCGCTGTCGCTCTCTTCTTCCTCTAGGTCCTCAGATTTCTTTTTATCGTCCCCTTTCTTTTCCTGCTTATGACTCGTAGTTTTGTTAGCCTTTTTCTTATTTTGTTGTTCATCTTCATCTTCGCTTCCAGAAATACCAGACGAGCTTTCTGCGTCCCTTGTCTTTTTAGCTGCTTTACTCGCCTGCATCCAAGAAACACCATTAATTAACTGCCTACAATAAATTCATCCTTCTGAAAATATATACTTCCGCAAGAAACAATTACACATGTATAATAATATCAATAGGGAAAAATGAAAAAAAATAAATAAATAAATAAAGGAAACCGTAATATCCTTCCGTACTGATAAGAATAACCAAATACCTTTGACTCCTTGTTTCCAGATATCCCTTGAATTTTGTCTTCATCTTTTCTCTTCTTTTTTACTGTTAACGGTTGAAAGAAAGTCCACGTGATCAGGTTTGATTTAAACAACGACATCTCATGGCAAAGCATGATGACTTAAAGCTTTTGATGTTCAGTTACGTTTCTGATAAACAAAAACCCACCTTCGTTTGATATTTGAGGTAACATTGACATATCAAGAGGGTTGACAGGCATTTTTTCATCTTTAGAAACCTCCTTCTTTAAAGCTGGTAACGTCCGAGAGAGAGGAGGTAGCGCGGACTTGTTAATTGGAGGCAAAGAGCCTCCCATTGAGTTACCAAGGCTCTAAACATTTAAAAAAAGGTTAGTAAGGCCTGTACAACACACAACAATGGATGCGTAAGATCATGATCTTACATTAATATTAACTGCTAACCTTGAGCCTGTGCGAGACTCTCGATCAGTGGGATGGAAAAAAAAAGCGTGCAAGAAACTCAACCGTTTCCTGGCAACCACAACTGCGGATTGTCGTTCGCCCCACTCTTCAGCTGACCCTCTGAATCAAAATTATATGCTAAAAAGATTAGCGCTGGCTAAAGATTTATGGTGGTATTACATTTGCGTTAAGAATGGATTTCTTCATCCCTTTCAATGAAAAACGTTCTACAGTAACAACGTTCAACAAAGTATTCGTATGTCGGAAATATTTTGATCACATACATGTATTAATAAAAACGATAACAAAATCATCGAACTTGATTGGTCGAAAGAAGCCCGATTTAAACTCTAATAGAACACTGTGGACGTCATATTTGTATTTAAATTTTAGCAATAGACCACATTTTCCGTGCTATATGACGTGATAAAGCCACACAGGATGTTGTGAGAACACGAGGAAAGCTTATAAATCACGAGCCGATGGCGAGCGATTCATAAGCTCTCCGAGATATACTAGTTACATGCGGGCTCCGTAACCCGATAAAGAATCCGCTTGGAAACTGAGTTGACCCGTCAGACGATGTGTACCACGTTCATTATGTCATAAAGTGTAATAGAGCAGATCACGTTTCGTCAGCCTCAGAAACTGGACAGCACGCGTCATTTGCGCGCCCTATTATGGACTATTTGGTTCCTTTTCTTGTGTAAAAGTCAACTGTTTTAATTCTATTAACAGCACGTTCAAGTATAACGTCCTAACATTTTGCTGGAGTTTTGACAAATTGAATACAAAACTTCATGCCGTCCAGTTATTTCTGTAATCGCACTCTCGCTTTGCAATCGTCCGAATCAGTTTGCTACTCACTCGTATGACTACGGTCCGAATCAGCTTTCTCAAGTCCCTGTTACCATAATGTACATAGATCTGATGTTACCGCAGCTTCTCCAATTACATGAAACACACTTTACCTCTAAGTTCTTCTGCCGACGCTTATTTCTCGCTGTACCTCCTGCAGGGAAAGTGGCAGCCAGTGACGGTCCATCCACAACATCTTGAAGACTTTTGGTTAGAGAAACTGAAGATGCAAGAATGTCCTTCTCAGCCTCTGCCTCACTGTCTGTACCATCACTGTTTTCAGTTGTTTTCACTGCCGCAACAAGAGTATGACATCCTCCACACGCCACAGTTTTAACCGTAAATTTATCAAATCTAGTTACTTTTTCAAGTTTGAACTGATTGGAGAATGATTCCTCCCCCATGCCAAGTTTTCCATGTCGTCCATCTCCACAAGTGTAGAGGTTTCCGTGTTTAGTGACGATTGCCGTATGCGATTCACCACAGGAAACAAATCGTACATATATATTTCTAAGAGAAGTCACTTGTTTAGGAGTACTGCATTCTAACAGTGAAGATCCATGACCAAGTTGACCATGGTCTCCTTGTCCAAAGGAATATAATTTTCCACTTTTTGTGACTGCAACAGTGTGGTTTCCACCACATGCCACAGAGACAACCTCTTCATTTATACTAAAAAGTTTTTGTACTTTTGATGTATCGCCGGTTTGTGACTCATCCAGTCCAAGCTTACCACTTTCATTTTCCCCACAAGTGAACAAAGAACCATCATCTGCAGTTGGAGTAAATCAAATGTTGCAGTTATGCATGAGACAGGGTGATCTGTAGTGACATGTAGATCAATGCTTTACAACTGCTTTGAATAACTGACCTGTCACAACAGCCATGTGATAATAGCCACAGGCCACTGACACCACTTTTCCTCTTAGCTTCACTTTTCTGGGTATTAAACAACTGTCATCATCAATCTCATCACGGTGCCCTATTTGTCCTTCACTGTTAGACCCCCAAGTGTACAGTTGCCCTTCTTCTGTGAGATGAAAACAGTTTAATATGTACAGTATATACAAAATAGAAGGTATTTCCTCTATTTCTTAGTCATATCAGGCAAATTGTATCACAAGTTAAAAGACTACACATGTCTGAAAACACATGCCAGCAATTAAAAATCCAAGAGTCATATACAGAAATTTATCATGTGACCCAGCTGGCCCCGTGCCAAAGTGAAAGCTGACATGTGTAGGGCTGGATGGGTTGATGTGAGCCAATCCAGAAAAAGCTGTCAAGCCCTGTTTCAATCTCACAGCTTTTCTGCAAAAACTCAAAGGAAAAGAGCAATGAGGAAAAAGTCCTGTTTTTTTCTGAATTGTGACTTTCTTGTTCTAATTAAAAAAAAAAAAAAAAAGGACACGTTTTTATTATAGCATTGTTTTTATGGATGTTCCAAGTGCACCATCTATCACTTCCCATCCGGGTTGAAACAAAGTGTTTGAGAAATTTTCAACACTAATTATATAATTAGTCATATGTATGGTGGCCGAGAACTGCCATTAAAAATATTCAAATCTATAGGAACTATTTTTGTTATTTTTTTTAATTTCGATTTATTTCTCATTTTTCTTTTTAAAATAAAAGCAAGTGAAAGTAAAATGTAAAGTAGAAATAAAATGAAACCAAAGATAAATTAAATCAAATCAAAATTAAATACAACCCGGCCGAGCACTGCCACTAGTTTCCCTTTTTTTTTTTTTTTTCGAGGTCAGGAAAAAAAATTTGTTTGTGGCCGAATGCTGCCACATGGCTGAGGGCTGCCAAACAAACCCAGAATTCTTTGCAGGATAACTTTCAAGATTCTAGTATGGCGGATGCCACGTGGATAAAGTTAAAAGAGAAAGTGACTGCGAAAAGAGGGAAGAAGAGTGATGCAGGAGATACAACGCATAAATTAATTAAAGGAAAAGAGCTGTATAATAATAACTGTTGAATTCAATGAAGAAAAAGAGCCGTTTG